GGTGTGCTGGGTTCGGGGGGGGTGCGGGCTCTGCGCAGAGCCTGCAAAGGGGGCTTGCCTGGCAGCCAGGGAACAGGCACGTCGCTTGCCCCACAGTAGACGCACACTAGGTCAAAAGACAAGGACCCCCCTTGGGGGGCGGGGAGGGGGCCGGTGTATAGGCAAAAAGTGAAACCGCTCCGTTTTTGTGACGGTCACAGTTTCTGTCAAACAAACATGACATTCGGTATAACTGCTCAGCCTGCAAAGGGGGCTTGCCTGGCAGCCAGGGAACAGGCACGTCGCTTGCCCCACAGTAGACGCACACTAGGTCAAAAGACAAGGACCCCCCTTGGGGGGCGGGGAGGGGGCCGGTGTATAGGCAAAAAGTGAAACCGCTCCGTTTTTGTGACGGTCACAGTTTCTGTCAAACAAACATGACATTCGGTATAACTGCTCAGGAATTGCTACCTTTGCTGGCTGGTTGCAAATTCAGAGGAACTGTGTTTTTTGGTAGAAAAATCTCTCAATTTGCTACCTCCTGTCTAACGGACTCAGGGGTCACAAATTCAGAGGGACTGTGTTTTTTCGTAGAAAAATCTCTCAATTTGCTACCTCCTGGCTAATGGACTCAGGGGATGCTGGTGTTTTGCCCTGAGCGGGAGCCTTTTGCTCCTGGTCCGTGGGTCACAAATTCAGAGGAACTGTGTTTTTTGGTAGAAAAATCTCTCAATTTGCTACCTCCTTGCTAACGGACTCAGGGGTCACAAATTCAGAGGAACTGTGTTTTTTGGTAGAAAAATCTCTCAATTTGCTACCTCCTGTCTAACAGACTCAGGGGTCACAAATTCAGAGGGACTGTGTTTTTTGGTAGAAAAATCTCTCAATTTGCTACCTCCTTGCTAACGGACTCAGGGGATGCTGGTGTTTTGCCTTGGGCGGGGGCCTTTTGCTCCTGGTCCATGGGTCACAAATTCAGAGGAACTGTGTTTTTGGTAGAAAAATCTCTCAATTTGCTACCTCCTTGCTAACGGACTCAGGGGATGCTGGTGTTTTGCCTTGGGCGGGGGCCTTTTGCTCCTGGTCCATGGGTCACAAATTCAGAGGAACTGGGGTTTTTGGTCCTCAAAACATTTCCCTCAAAACATTTCCCTGAGAATTGTTCAAAACAGGAAATAGTTAGTGAATTTGAAAATAGGAAAATCAATCCATATAACAGTCAGTTCAATTAGAAAATATGAGATGAATATTGCATACGTATAAGCAAGGTCAAACAATATTAACATGGCCTGATTGTCAAGCCACTGACAATACAGACATACATTAAGTTAAGGACCATGCACAATTCTCCAGAATTGATGTGTGACCAAAAAAGGATGTATCCCATCAATGATGATCTAATGTTTTTTGAGAGTGCTATTACCTAGAACCTTGGTTATAGTCATTGCTGGACAAATCAGAGAAAACATGACTTGACAGACAGAAAAGGGACTGGCCACCACAAGAAAAAAATGTACTTAAAGCTAATAAATTCCGAGTAATAATAAGAACAGTATTTGCAAATACATTAGTAATAAAATATGCTCCCTGTTATCAATGCATGCATTATAATCTTCAACTTTCTGCCCTATTTTTCCATGTCTCCTCCCATTTGCTCCAGAAGCTACCCTATAAAATGCTGCCTCCTAACCCCTAAAACTCATAGTTCATAAAGCAGATGAATGAACAATAAAACAGTTCTGTATGAATATTGGACAAGTAAACGTACCTTCCATAATGATGTGTGTAGTACAGGAAAGTTTTTGCGTGTTGAAAATATATGTGGAACAGATACTGTAGAAAAAGTATTATGGATGTGAATTAAAAGAAATAAGTAGAACACTTGGGGTGTGTCTAGACTACAGGGTTTTGTCGACAAAAGTGGACTTTTGTCAACAAAACTATACCTGCGTCCACACTGCCTTTGAGTTATGTCGACATATGTAAACACCATTCTATGAGGAATAATGTCTTTTATCGACAGAGTTCTGTCGACAGAAGGCATTATTACATCTACACTGTCCTTTGCGTCCACACTGTTATGTCGACAAAGCGTCTTGCTTTGTTGACAGAACTGGATGTAGTCTAGACGCTCTTTGTCGACAGAAGCTTTGTCGACAGTATCTGTCGACAAAAATTCTGTTGACAAAACCCTGTAGTCTAGTCATACCCATACATATGACTATGACTTGATACTCAATACTGCATTTAAAGAATCAGTTAACAAAAATGTTAATTGTCAAAAATAATATATTGTAACTAGATTATAGAGAAAATTGTATATCACTGTAATGGATGTGAGGTTCTGCACAAAATTGGTCCCTGTTACAGATATAGTACTGGGGTGAGCTTAGCAATTCTATCAATTCTACACAGCCATTAATTCGAACAAATTAATTTGAACTAGGCATTAGTCCTTGTAGAATGAGGTTTATCTAGTTCGAATAAGCGCTCCGCTAGTTCTAATTAAGTTCGACCTAGCGGATCGCGTGTGTAGCGCCTCTCTGAGTTAATTCGAATTAACGTCTCTTAGTTAGGGTACGTCTACACTACAAAGTTATTTCTAAGTCCTTCTTCACACTTAATTTTCCCAGAGAGAAGGTCAGTGTTCTTGTGCAAATACTCAAGGCCGGATAAGAAAAGGGGCAAGATTTTCTGAAAGGGGGGATGATTTGGAGCAAAATATTGCCAATCTAGACACTGCTACATTTTTTTATATTTTTATTAGAACCGTGAAAAGCTCAAAGGAAAATAAAAATGCACTAGAAGGCACACGGTGGGATATCACAGTGTATGAGGAATGCAAGGGAAGTTATTTCTGTTCATCACAAGTCACAGGCCCCATCTCAGGACCTGGCTGTAGTGCGGACATGATGTGGCTCAGACACGTGCTCTGTCACTGGAAAAATCCTCTCATGTTGCAGCTGTACTCTTGACTGGGGGAATCTCAATACACTAGGACTACTGCCCAGTGTCCCCCTGAATGAAACTGGCTCCAGATGGTTCCAGCTCCACCCCATGACTCATCTCCAGTTTCACTGTTCCTTAGAAATGATTCTAATCTGCGTCTAGTTCACATGGATGATTGTCTGGCCACCCTGGCTCTGGTTGTTGCAGCTTTGAATACAGCACAAGTCTGCTCTGTGGCCTGCTTCTGTGACTCTGCTACGAACACTGACATGCTTCCTGTGCTGATTTTGTGGCACCTGTGTCTCTGGCCCTGCTCAGATCCACAGCTCAGCTCTGAGAAATGCTCTATGTAGGGTTCCCAGGTGTACAGTTTTGAACAGACAGGCAGTCAGTCCATTATTTTAACTTTCTATTTTCGAAAAAAATTTATAAAGTATTATTGATTCAATAGCACTGTCTTCAGCATGTGATCAGGACGATGGAATGTCCAGTGTGACATAATGGGAAGTGTGCACAGTATTGGTGAAAACATCTGGCAAGACTAGCTCTATGCTAAGCTGGGGCCAAATGTGTCTGAACAAGGGTAATTAAGCACACACAGAGCACAGGAAACTAAGAGCATCCTTGCTCCCTGATTAGCCTGACCACCCTGTTAATGTGGATAGCCTAGACGATTGGACTCTAACCGTTTTTCAAGGGGACTGTCAGTATCAAGGCAATGATTTCAGATTCAACCCTCTACTTTCTGTTGGTGTTGTGAAATAGCCAAGCCAAACACCACAACGGAGTTTTATTAAGGGAAATACAATGGCACTGTGGCAGCAGGCACAGTAACACAGATGGGTCTGGACCCTCGCCTGTTATCAAGGCTTGGTATTGTGGACAGTGGACTGGTGAGGTGGTGGGAAGTGAAGGGGGGATGTGCAGTGGGGGAGATAGATCTATGGGTGTCAGTGCACTGTGAAGCGTGGAGGGTCTGAGGAGCACTGCAGTTGTGCTGGTGGGAATATGGGGGGAACTGAACAGTTAATGAATATGGGCGGGGGATTATGGGAGGGCACAGGGCATAGCGGTCTGTGGGAGGGCAATAGGCATAGTAATTTGTGGGGGTCTCTGGGTGCTGTGGCATTGGGTCTAGGGGGCTAGAGGGGTGCTAGGCAGGGTAGCACAGTGCGGCATGGGCCTGCCCACAATAAGAAGAAGCATGATGGCATCAGCTCAGTGCCAGGAGGGCTACTGTATGTCAGTTTGTAAGCAGTGCCCTTGTACGAGGCTGGGTGGAACAGGGCTGGACCTGCGGTGATATAATAATAAAAATTAGCAGTAGGGGTATATTACCGACCACCTGACCAGGACAGCGATACTGACATAGAAATGCTGAGGGAGATTAGAGAGGCTACCAAAATAAAGAACTCTATAATAATGGGTGATTCTAATTACCCCCATATTGACTGGATACATGTCACCTCAGGAAGAGAAGTGGAGATCAAATTTCTCAATGGCTTAAATGACTGCTTCTTGGAGCAGGTGGTGCAGGAACCCACAAGGGGAGAGGCAATTCTCGATTTAGTCCTGCGTGGAGTGCAGGATCAGGTCCAGGATATAACCGTTACAGGACCGCTTGGGAATAGTGACCATAATATAATAACATTCAACATTCCTGTGGTGGGAAGAACACCTCAGCAGTCCAGCACCCTGGCATTTAATTTCAAAAAGGGGAATTACACAAAAATGAGGAGGTTAGTTAAACAGAAATTAAAAGGAACAGTGACTAGAGCCAAATCTCTGAAAGCTGCATGGAAACTTTTTAAAGACACCATAATAGAGGCTCAACTTAAATGTCTACCCCAAATTAAAAAACATAGTAAGAGACCTAAAAAAGAGTCACCGTGGCTTAACCACCATGTAAAAGAAGCAGTGAGGGACAAAAAGGTATCTTTTAAAAAGTGGCAGTCCAATCCCAGTGAGATAAATAGAAAGGAACAGAAACACTGTCAAATCAAGTGTAAACATGTAATAAGAAAAGCAAAAAAAGATTTTGAGGAACAGCTAGCCAAAAACTCAAAAAGAAATAACAAAATGTTTAAGTACA